GAACAAAGGGGAAAGGATTATTTTCACTCAAGTTCTTCTTCAGGCTCAGCAGGTGACATCCAAGCTGCTTGGCCTGCCTTCCTTCAGACACTGAAACTCCGTGGACGGTATGCTGCCCAGAAAACCCCGAACCAGCAGCCCCAGCACAAAGGGAGGAAAAGAAAAAAGTGCAGATGGGAAATTCAGGCAGAGCCACGCTGTGGTGATGCCAAAACTTCCCACACGCTCGCTAATTGCACAGAACCATTTTGTCTGCCTGGAGAACCATTGATCTCCAAGGGGCTTATAAGTCCAGTTAATGGAGCTCTTACTCCACCCCTTTTCTATTCTTAAGGTCAGAAGTTGGGGAAAAGGAGGAAAGTGGAGGAGCCATGGGTCTTTGCAAAACATACAGAGCCCAGACCCAGGGCCCAGCAATTAGGAACAAAAACAGCTCGGAGTGGCGAGACCCACGCAGGGCTACGTGCCAGCTTCTCCTACGGCCTTCAGTCTTCAGCCAGCTGCTATGACCTGGAATTCTGCTATTATCAAGAGCTCCGTGCACACTAGAGACACAAGGTGTCCCCTGGGGTTGGGAGTGGGGGTGCCACACGTCTTCCCTGTTCAAGAGATGACAAGATTGAGTCACGAAGCAGCTCAGGAATTAGCCCAAGTTTCCACAGCTGGTATGTGCCTAGGTCATTTTGCATTACAGTCCTACCAAGAAAATAAAGATCACCAAATACCATCAATTAGGTGGCTTGGGGGCAAGTCCTCATGGGTTAAGTTTAGACACACACATCACCATGATTTTCAAATATGTCCACAGATTCTTTGACATTCCTCCCACCCCTGCTCACTTTCTTGGGTCACTTGCTTTGGGGGAACCCAGTTGCCATGTTGTGAGGGCACTCAAGCAGCACTATGGAGAGTCCCTGTGGTGAGGATCTCAGACCTCCCCACCCGACAGCCAACAGCCACTGGCCAGGCACGGGGTTCAGCCATTTTAGAAGATCTTCCAACCAAGTCAAGATCAAGGTCACGTCTTCAGATGACTTCAGCCTCAGCTTCATGGCAGTGTCCTAAGAGCCCCTGAGCATGAACCACCCAGCAGAGCTGCACGTACAAACGGTTTAGAGGATAACCATGTACTGATCTCACCGTTTAATCTGAGGTGCAGCTCGTCATGCGTCAGTAGAGGACCAAGACGTCCCCCTTTATCTCCCTTATTCCTAGTACCAGACATCTCAGTTGCCCAAGGCTGAAGTTTCACGTAAATGCCCTCTCCCTCTCGGGCAAACAGGAGACTCGCGGGCATTGTGCAATGACAAAGTTGTTCCCCAATCTCATGTTGCTCTCCCAGGGCACAGCTGGCCTACTTTCTCAGCCCCCGTGCAGTGGGTGCAACGGGACTGAGGAACGGCCAGTGGAATACAGGCCGAAATGGTTAGCCTGCTTCCAAGCCTGACCAAACCTTCTCAGCATGTGCCCCAGAATTCACATGTTGAGGCCTTATCTCCACTGTGACCATGTTTGGAGACAGGGCTATTAGGAGGTAAAGTTAAATGAGGTTATAAGAACAGGGCCGGCCGGGCACAGTGGCTCAAGCCTGTAATCCCAGCACTTCAGGAGGCCAAGGCTGGTGGATCACGAGGTCAAGAGATTGAGACCATCCTGGTCAACATGGTGAAACCCCGTCACTACTAAAAATACAAAAAATTAGCTGGGCATGGTGGCGCGTGCCTGTAATCCCAGCTACTCAGGAGGCTGAGGCAGGAGAATTGCCTGAACCCAGGAGGCAGAGGTTGCGGTGAGCCGAGATCGTGCCGTTGCACTCCAGCCTGGGTAACAAGAGCAAAACTCTGTCTCAAAAAAAAAAGAACAGGGCCCTGAGCCAATAGGATTTGTGGCCTTACAGAAGAGGAAGAGAAATCTTTCTCAGGACACAATAAGAAGGCAGCCGTCTGCAACCCAAGGAGAGAGGCTTCCCCAGAGCCTGACCTTGCCAATGCCTTGATCTCAGACTTCCAGCCTCCAGAACTGGGAGAAAACAAAGTTTTGTTGTTTTAAGTCACCCAGTCTATGGTGTTTTGATACGGCAGCCTGAGCAGACTAAGGCAGATTCTCCATGTTCTCTCTTTTCCAATCTGCCTGCTGGATATTGAGACTCAGGACAACCTTGGAAATCACGCCTGGAAGGTGGCAGGACCTCTGTCAGCTTGGTGCCTGAATGTGACATGGAGCAGAGACCTACCACACCATTGCTATAACCACCCATCAGGAACACCTATCACGAGCTTCACAAGAAAGAAACTTCTTTCATGTTTTGCCAGGGAAATTTCAGGTTCGTTCTTTGTGGCAGCTAGAATTCTGTAACTAATACATGTTACATTCATTGTATTAATTGAAACTCTTTTCTTTGTATGTATGCTAACATTAGGGAATCCCTATTTTATCAATTTATTTTACTAGTCTGTAATTTCAACTCCTGCAGACTGACTCAGAAAACAATGCTATACCACTGCTGTGGGTGAGGACCAGTTTCCTGTTCAGGATAATGCATTCCAGTGCCTATATGAGCCCAGGGCTGGCTCTGACGGATGCCATCAGATGACTCTTATTTCACAGGGTGAAATCTTCAGTTTTCAGTGAAATCTTTGCATGCTAGGTGAGAGGCAAGGCACGTACAGGTTCTCTAGTAACGCCCAGGTGTGCTTTCTAGCGGTGCTGGAGTACTAGGTGTTCCGGTAACGCCCAGGTGTGCTTTCTAGCGGTGCTGGAGTACTAGGCATTCCGGTAATGCTTGCTGTGCTTTCTCCCTTTTTCTGAAAAACGTTAATCTACACCCTGGACACATTAACATACTGTCCAAAATTCACAAGGGGAATAAAACTTTCTTTCCTCTGCCATTGGGAAAGCCAAATTCTCCCATAGAATTCAGTATAGTGTTTGCTTACATGGATTTCAGTGGTTACCATTTCCTAATCCATAACCTAATCCGCAGGTCAAAAATTCAGGTGTATATGAATGCATTATTTGACTCACACGCCTCTGTTTTTTTTGTTGTTTTTTTGAGACAGAGTTTCACTCTTGTCACTCAGGCTGGAGTACAGTGGTACAATCCCAGCTCACTGCAACATCTGTCTCCCAGATTCAAGCAATTCTCCTTCCTCAGCCTCCTGAGTAGCTGGGACTACAGGTGTGTGCCACCATGCCTAGCTAATTTTTCTATTTTAGTAAAGACAGGATTTTGCCATATTGGCCAGGCTTGTCTCAAACTCCTGACCTCAGGTGATCTGCCTGCCTTGGCCTCACGAAGTGCTGGGATTACAGGCCTGATCCACTTTGCCTGGCCAGTTTTCTCATCTGTACAGTGGACACAATGATAGTCTCTACCTCACAGGAGTGTTGTGAAGATTGGGTTGGATAATATGTCAATCATGGATGATACTGACCAATGTACAGTATCAGTAAGTCATGACTATTAACGTCACTGTGGTGATAGGGAAAGTGATTGCTACTGCCTCTGCCAAGGTGTAAAAGATCCCGGCGTCTGGGAAGAGTCCCGCATTTCATTCTCTTTTCTGGAGGAGCTCCCGGGACAGCCCTTTAACTTGGGCATTGGGTGCAGTTGGCCCAGGCCTTCTTGCAATTCTCTACCTGGCTACTGGTTCTACTGGCCACCTCAGACCCCGACTCTGTAACAGCACAGCCACCCTACCCTGGCAGACATGCCACTCACAAACAGGGCCCCCAGGGGCCCAGAGGGGATAGGGCGCTGTAAGGCTCACTTCTTACCAGGTGAGGGGATGGGCGCTGTAAGGCTCACTTCTTACCAGGTGAGGGGATGGGCGCTGTAAGGCTCACTTCTTACCAGGTGAGTTTTGAGTCCGAGTCAGTGGGCCGTGCTTCAGGAACTTGTGGGCTCCTTTGTCTTCAGTCATCTCCTGAGCAGCCCCTTGGCCCCATGAGGGCAACACTCCATCACCCACCCTTGATTCCTAGCCCTGCTCTTAGTGCCTGTTTCTAATGAGGACCAGGAGGTGGGGAGGAGAGGAGGGTGGGGAACATGGTGGACATGTGAGGCCTGAGGCCCCAGGATCTCAGCTTCCGTGAAAGGCGGATTTGTAGCTGCTCCTGTTCCCCACACCTGACAATCACCACGTCCTGCAGACGTGCCTCCTAAACACCTCCCAACTTACCACTTCTCTCCACCACAACTCTCTTTTCAACATTTATTTATTTATTTTGAGACAGGGTCTCACTCTGGTGCCCAGGTTGGAGTGCAATGGTGCCGTCTCACTGCTACCTCCGTCTCCTGGGTTCAAGCAATTCTCCTGCCTCAGCTTCCCCAGTAGCTGGGATTACAGGTGCATGCCACCATGCCCAGCTGGTCCCGAATACCTGACCTCAAGTGGTCTGCCCAGCTTGGCCTCCTGAAGTACTAGGATTATAGGCATGAACCACCGTGCCCGGCCTCTTTTTTAGAACTCAGCCTTGGCTCTGACCTGATCTCTCTTCTTCCAGTTGAACTTGAACGACTGCTGGAATGATTGATCAAAATCACAAGTCTCGCCACTCGTCCCCTAGTTAAAATGCTTGGTTGACTTTCTGAAGCCTTCTAAATGAAGTCCAGCCTCTCCATCTGCCCTCTCCTCATTCTTCTCTGCAAAATGTTCCTCATCTTCCCACAGCTAGGGGAGCTTCCAGCTGCCACACCAAGGCCACATGTGCTGCTGGGCATAGAGGTTGCCAGACCGCTGCTCCTGCCTGCTGCTTTTTTGGTCTCTCCTGCTAAGCCCCAGATGCTGGTGTGCCCAGGTTCTTCATGGCTCATCTCTCTTCCCAGGACTTTCACCCAGACCCGTGCTTAAAATTCACAACAGTTCAGCACTTAAATGGCTGTTACCAGTCTATTAATCTGCCATTCACTTTCTCATTCATTTATTAAATAAATCACCAAAGATTTATTGTGTTTCTTGCATATCTGGAAAGAAAGGGTAGGGAAAAATGGCCACATGTGAAGTATTGGATAGTTTAATGAAGAGATCAGGAGCATGTAACAGCAAAGAGACACTAAATGCCATAAGCAAGACAAAAACCACCGGTGGGAGTCGGGAGAAGGCAGGAGTTGCTTTATCAGTACTGTCAGGAAAGGCTTCTCGAAGAGGGAATTTCATTCACTCAACACAAATTTATTGGGTGCACACTATGTCTCAGGCACACAGGCATTTGGGAGAGACCCAAAAGGGTGAATAGAATTTTGACTGGGTTGGAGGAACTAAAGAGGAGTGGTGGAAAGGAGGCTGGAGGGGCTGAGGGAATGGCAGGTAAGGCAACAGGCAGAATCGGTTCTATCTTCCGACAGCAGTGCCCCAGGTGGCCTCTCAGGGACTACTGTGTCCTCTGCACATAACTGGAGAAAGATGATGCTGCTTAAATCAGTCAGCATTTCCCATCTTCCTGATAAGAGCAATGACTTCAAGGACGGGCTTGCAGCCCAACTAGAACCAATGGTGTCAGACAAGAGGCTAATAATACACAAGGCAAACCAGATAAACGAAGGAAAACTGGATTCCGGGGCTAGACCAAGTCTCGCCTGCAGTCCTTTCATTGTTCAAGCCATTTCTCTCTGGGGTTTTCTGTCACCTGTAAACACAGCAAGTAAATATGTTGAGGCAGGAAAGCAGGAGAAGTCCGAGAAACTACAGATTTTTCTAGAAGTTAAGTAAGAAACAGGAGATAAATCTGCAAAGATAGATTTTTCTCATTGTAATAACTCTTTAAATGTAATAGTAACAGTTATTATTTCTAATGACCACTTACTCATGTTAGGTACCCTTTCAAGTTGTGTATGTCAGCTGATTCACTCAGTCCAATGAAATGGACTCTGCCATTTCCCCCCCCTTTTTTACAGATGTGGAAACTGAGGCATTAGATCGATTAAGTGACTCATCCAAGGTGACACAGTTAATGAATGGCAAAGCCAATATTCAAGCCCTGTCATCTTACTTCAGAGCCTGAACTCTTAAACATTATGCTATTGTTTGTAGTTTTCAGTGAACTGTAAGAAGCCAAAAGATCTGTAATCTTACAGGCTGCGGGGTCAGATTCAGCTTCTTCCACTTTCTAGCTAGTGTGACTTTGGAAAAGAATTTAACTTCTCTGAGTCCCAGGTTCTCCATCTATGTGACAAAACAGAGCTGCTGTCCAAAATGAAATAATGCATTTAAAGAGCTCAGCACCACAGTGAGCACACAGGCTGGCTCCATTGCCTGCTTGTGCTCCTGCCTCCCTGCTGTGCCAGCTCATTGTCCTGCATTCAGGGCCGGCTGGGTTAACATGAAGCGCCTTTCTTGCCTTTGTAGACCTACAGTGGCTAACAAAACCCAGTTGCAGACCCAGGAGGTGCAAGAAGCACTTTCCTTTCATGTCTGCAGCCTTAAGTAATCCTCCTCCCAGAGTCTCCCAGAGAGGAGAGACTGTCAGCTGTGCCCCTCCCTTTAAGCCCACTGCTCTGTTTGGCTCTTGCTCGTAGACATATGGCAGGGGCTTTGTGTTCAAATATGTCTGCTTTCAAGTTGAATACAACCATTGTCTGAGCCTGGGCCCTCCAGGAATTTACTGATGAGGGCAGGTTGATGAAGGCACAGAATTTCAGTTGAAAGTTTCCAGTTGGCTGGTTGTCAGCAGCTGAGATGGCCAGGGAGCTGACCTGGGCTGAGATTCCCAAACGGCCCCCCAATTTTTTTGAGACAGAGCTTGCTCTGTCCCCCAGGCTGGAGTGCAGTGGCTGGATCTTGGCTCACTGCAACCTCCACGTCCCAGGTTCAAGCAATTCTCCTGACTCAGCCTCCCAAGTAGCTGGGACTACAGGTATGCACCACCACACACCTGGCTAATTTTTGTCTGTTTAATAGAGATGGGGTTTTGCCATGTTAGGTAGGCTGGTCTCAAACTCCAGACCTTAGGTGATCTGCCCACCCTGGCCTCCCAAAGTGCTGGGATTACAGGTGTGAGCCACTGCACCCGGCCTAAACAGCCCCTCTTGTGAGGAAGGTCATGGACACTGTCCCCTACCTAGTCTGAAGACCCTCTTGGACATGTGGAGGCCCAGGGCATGGCTCCAAGGCTGGGGAGTGGAGTTGGGGTACCCCATGGCTATCTTGAGTGAACATACTGAAGGGGTAGCAGAGCAGGCAGGACCCACCGCATGGCTGCCCCAGGGCCAGAGTGAGCAGGGCACCCCAGGTGAAACAGAGTGGAAACTGACTGCAGGCCTTCTTCTAAATTTTTGTTCTCAGATAATCTCTGAGATTTATAGAATTCTTGCAAAGACAGTACAGAGAGTTCCCAGATACCCTTCACCCAGATTCCCTAGTGTCAAAATTCTGTGTAACCATGGCACATGTACCAAAACTAAAAATTAACATTGGTTCAGGGATTCCATAGATGGTAATTAATAAATAAATAAAATTAAAATAAATAGACATTAGTATAGACTCATGTCAAAACTTAGAATGAACACTGGCATATGCATCAAAACTAAGAGTTCATGTTGACATTTGCATCAAAACTGAGAATCAACATTAGCACATGTATGGAAACCAGCAGTTAACACAGCTGACACTGGCACACCACCACTGCTAAACTCCAGGTCTTATTCAGGTTCCGCCAGTTCTGCCCCAGGACTCCTTCCTGGCATTTCATTGTCACGCCTTGCTGGGCACGCTGAGGAAGAGACAGTTCCTCAGTCTTTTCTGGACTATGCCTTGAACTGGGTTTGTCTGCTGTTCCTCATGATTAGATTGAGGTTGTGGGCGTTGGGGAAGAATGTGAGGTGCCCTTCCCATGACAGCAAGGTGACTCGGGAGATACTAGCTTCATCTCCTGGGTGAGGTGCGTCTGCACCCAGGCTTCTCCCCTGTAAGTAACCAGTTTTTCTATTTAACATTCTATTCTTTGAAGTGAGCCACTAAATCCAGCCCACACTCAGGGGCGGCATGGGGAGGGAGAGAGGAGGGACCCACAGGCATTGTTTGGAGTGCAGAATCTTTGGAAAGCGAAAGATGTCAGTTTTGGGGTCCCCAGCTCAGACTACTGCTTTAGAGAGAGTTTCCATGAGTCTAGGGGCCCTTCTGTGTGCTCATGCTAATTCTGAACTTTGGAAATCCTGATTTGAGCTCTGTGGTGCCACCAGAGAGCTAGCAAGAGTCAGAGAAGGTGTGGCATGTAAAGCCAGCCCCCAACCACCCGGCAGGGTGTGACACACTGTGCATGGGAAGGCCTGCTCTCCAACGCACCTTCCCTGCTGGCATTCCCCAAAATCTGGGGGACCCCTCTGGGGGACCATCAACCCCTCAGGAAGGTGGCCCTTCCCTACAAGACCCAAAGACCCCTGCCCTGACACTTGCTGCCTTCCAGAAAGCCTCCTGGCCTATGGGCCCTTGAGACCCCAACTGGACCTCATCACAAAGAGAACTTTGTGTCCTGTTTGGTTTTCTGACTTAGCTTAGCTCTCTGTTGTGGATCTGCAGTGCCCATAAGACACAACCCTCCCTAATTAGGAATGCAGCTTCGCACCCAGAGTGGGCTCTCTGGGGTGGGATGCGGGTCCTGATGGGAGAGGGGTCTGAAACCCTTAACCGGGAGGGTTTTCTTCTGGCCTGTTGGTATTATATTTGTCTCTTCAGTCACACACTCCTGCCCCTGCTGTTTCTGACTCTCCCTGCCCCAGTGGTTGTAGTTCTGGTCTCTGATGACTCCCCACCGTCTGCTCACTAATGGAGCAACATGCCTCACTTCCTGCCTGTTGGTTCCTGGTGCCCTTTGTCTTCTCAGGCACTTCCATGACCAAATCAATGAGTCTCATCAACAACCATGTGGTTTAAGCAGCTGAGGCTCAGAGATAAGAGATCACCTGTCCCATGTCACATGGCCATGTAGCCCCAATGATCATCTGCACAGGCAGGAGAGCTGGACCCATGTATTCACTCCACAAGCATTTACTGAACACTGCTAAATGCCAGGCTCCCATCTATTATATCAGAACAGACAATGTCCGGCCCAAAGAGAACAAGTCCATAACCAACAGGCAGGCATTGGCAAAGCAGGACAGTACTGACCTCTCTGAGCAACTGTCATTTCCCAGAGCCAAAGGGAATGAGAGGCATGGCCCGCAGCCATCAGGGGAAGGGAATGAGAGGCATGTCCCACAGCCATCAGGGGAAGGGAATGAGAGGCATGTCCCACAGCCATCAGGGGAAGGAATTAGGGGCACGTCCCACAACCATCAGGGGAAGGAAATGAGGGGCATGTCCCACAGCCATCGGGGGAAGGGAATGAGGGACATATCCCACAGCCATCGGGGGAAGGGAATGAGGGACATGTCCCGCAGCCATCGGGGGAAGGGAATGAGGGACATGTCCTGCAGCCATCTGGGGAAGGGAATGAGGGACATGTCCCGCAGCCAGCGGGGGAAGGGAATGAGGGACATGTCCCGCAGCCATCAGGGGAAGGGAATGAGGGACATGTCCCGCAGCCATCAGGGGAAGGGAATGAGGGACATGTCCCGCAGCCATCGGGGGAAGGGAATGAGGGACATGTCCCGCAGCCATCGGGGGAAGGGAATGAGGGACATGTCCCACAGCCATCAGGGGAAGGAAATGAAGGACAAGTCCCACAGCCACCAGGAGAAGAAAATTAGAGGCACGTCCCGCAGCCATCAGGAAAAGGAAATGAGGGGCATGTCCGCCATCTGTCAGGGGAAGGGAATGAGGGGCATGTCCTGCAGCCATCAGGGGAAGGGAATGAAGGGTCCATCCTGCAGCTCTCTGGAGAAGGAAATTAAATGCAAGTCCTGCAGCCACCTGGGAAGGAGAGTAGGAGTGAGTCCTAGGTCACCAAACAGTGGGCATCTAGCTGGTCCAGCTCCCTTCCAGTCTTCCGAGCAAGCCACAGAAGCTGGTGTCCGACAGGCCTATTGAGTCTCCAGGGAGGAGACCTGTTGACCCGGAAGGTGACTTCCTGCCTGCTGAGTGGGAAACCAAGCCTGCCCTTCTTGGGGGCTCTCTGAGCACCTGCATCATTTACAAGAACACCAGGGGAGAGCAGAGCAGAAGGTATTGGAGACCAGCAAGTACTCTGGACAGCGGGTAAGATTTTCTTCTGATCTCATGGTGCTTAATGGAAAAGCAAACGCTTGGCAATTATTTTCTAACCCACATGCACCACAGAACACAGTGGCTTCTGCAAGTGTCTACTTGGTGTAACTTCCTGAGATAGGGCACCAACCTCACAACTCACTGGAGAATATTCAAAGGCCCCCTGAAGGAGAGGGAGCAAGATTCTTTCTATTCTTAGGCTTAAAAACGTTCCCCTCACCATCATTGCACCACGTGTGTGAACATCTGATCACTAGGAAAATGTGGCACTGGATTAAGTCCCTAGTGGTCAAATTCTTTAGGCAATTTTTTCCCCTTAAAATGAATGAAGTCTATTAAAGAATCTGAAAAATAATAAACAGTTCTGGACATGTGGCCTGTGGAGGATGAAAGAAATGTTCCTTCCACTGGGGAGGCTTTTGGAGACTTTACCTTGAAATATGAACATATCCAATATCGGGAAGGAAGACCCTAAGGCTCAGTGTTTTGCGTGTTGATGGCTGTTGTGTTATGATTTTTTTCTGCTCACTTTCTTTTGTTTCTGGAGGTTTGTGCACCCCTGTGGCTCTGGAATCAGTGGAAGAACACATCTCTGGAGGTTCCAAGTTCTCCTCTCACCATCCTTAGCTTTATTGGGCTGGGACACAAAAGGATGAGGCTGTGGGAGAAGAAGCTCATGTGTGTACATTGACATCTTGCCCAGTGGAGGCCAAAAAGCGAAATTTAGCCCCACACTAATGTGAGGAAACCTAATTTCACCCACAAAGAGCCCATGGCCAGCTGACAGGTCAGGGAGGGTTTGTCTTGCTGTGCATGGAGGATCTTGCCAGAGGCGTCCGGCTGAGGTTGCCTCTCTTCAGTGACGTGATCAGCCACCCGAGGATTCAGGGCAGGGTGCCAAGCCCTGCTGCCCCAGTTGGCTGATGCCTGATGTCTCCACCGTGAGGCTGGAAGGCGGCCAACGAGGAGCACTTGGGGACATAAGTCACAAGAAAGCAGCGTCTATCTCAACAGAACAGGAGCACTCTCTACTCTTCCCAGTCTCTTCGGGTTTAAAAGGGTCTCTGCCCATTAAAGTCTTATCTGAAGTCTAGACTTTAGTCTAAACTTACATATAAATGTTTTAAAGGAGTATAAGTGTAAGCCCATGGGACCTGCTGCTGGCGAGTGGAATGGAATGGAGATTCTCACAAATGAGAACCAGCTGTGAGTCACAGAGTTCCCACCACAGTGGCTCTGAGCCCACTCTCCAGACTGAGAGCAGCAAGAGGAGGCAAGACTGGAAGAGGAAAGACAGGAATGAGCTCCTCACTCAGTAGGCAAAACATCAATACTGAAGGCATTATCTGTACATCGATGGAAAAGAATAGGAAGAGGAGACTGAGTGGCTGCTTATATTCAAATTTCCTATGCTATGCCACACCGGAAAATATCCCAGATGAATTAAAAGAGTCACTTTTTAAAACCTAGTGAAAACAGAGAAGTAAATTGTATTAGTATAGTTTGAAGAAAGCCTTCAACCTGTATTAATAAAATACAGAAGAAACAAACGCAGGAGTCCTGAAGGAAACCCTGGCAGACTTCATCACACACACACTTAAAACCACCCTATGAGAAAATCACATAAACCAATCTTTTTTTGAAAGATGTCTACTGGAATAAAATATTTGCAAAGCATTTAAGAGGTTAAAATTTAATATGAGTAATAAGTAAATGAGTTATTCAAACTCATAAGAAAAAGAGAAAATGGGTAAAAAATAAACAGGCAATTCACAGAAGATGGACAGGATACAAATATGTACATAAACATACACATACATATTTATTTTCCAGCCTCGTCCTCAACTGTTAGGAAGGGGAAAGCTAGTTGGAGTGCAGTAAGTAAGTATGCTCATTACCTACGTAGTTGTGTTTTGTGAAGTCAGCTGAAGAATCACAAGATTCGTACATCTGGAGAGGAGAGCTTTATTTCTCACAAAGGGTTGCAGCCTGCAGGCTGGCTATCTTGCAGGCTGGGAAGCAGAAACCAAAAGCCGGCACTTTGAGGGAGGAAAGGACGGAACAGGAATTTATGCCACGTGGGATGGCGAAGTATACATATCTAACAGGTTATAGGTGGAACTATGACTATTCATAGAAAGCAAATATGCATGAATGTCCACATTCAGTTTGGGGTGAGCACTTAACATTTAAATGCACTAAAATTCGGCTTTATATGTCCGAAGATGAGCTGAGGACACAGGCATCTGTGTGCAGCCACTGAACACCGGCCAGAGTCAGTCCACAGTCAGTCTGACTGTGGGCTCTTATCAGGAAGGAACGCTGATTCATCATTGTGTCAAAACCGCAGAAGGGAAGTCTGGCAAGACTTTTGAAAGGGCTTTGGCTTCTGTTTAACCCTCGGGTAAGAAAGTCTAATGGCGATTAGCAAGTGTGTGTCCAACCTCCCCATCCCATCAGGGCCAGGAACTCAGTTTTTAAAATTTCTCTGGGCTCCCTTGGCTAAGAAGGAGTCCATTTAGTCAGCTCAGGGGCTTAGAATGTCATTTTTTTTCCACCACAAACATTGAATTGGTGAATAGTGAACCATCACTCACGCAGGAAAGACAGGGTTAGGTTCCCGTGAGCCCCAAGACACAGCTTTTTCATCAAACCATGAATACATAACTTTGTTTTATATGTTCCTGACTATTGCTTAAATTCAGTGGTTTCCTATGCTATGCCGCACCAGAAAATATCCCAGATGAATTAAAAGACTCACTTTTTAAAAGCTAGTGAAAACAGAGACGTATATATTGTTTTAGTAGAGATTGAAGAAAGCCTTTAACCTGTGTTAATAAAATACAGAAGAAACAAACGCAGGAGTCATAAAGGCAATCCTGGCAGACTTCCTCACACACACACTTAAAACCGCCCTTAGGGTTAGGGCGCCATCTTGTTTAGCACGTACCATAGAGTAAGTAACACTCGTCCAGTGCGTTTTCTCCTCCGAAAGGCACCTCGCAGCCTTCTTGCTCTTAGGAACACTGAGCAGCACTGCCACACTGTGCTTGAGGCCATTTTAAACAGTGAAATCGCCAACAAAAAGCAGAAAAAAATGTGAAAAAAAAGTGGCACTAAATAAACTGAAAAAACGCTTGCAGGGTGAGCTGAACCCAGAAGGCAGAGCGCCAACTCCTTCGGCTGAGCCTGTGCACTGAAGGTACACACTTTGCACTTCTCCGCATACTCGAAAGTATTGATTTGAGGGTTATAAATAAATGGAGAGTAGGTCGATTTACAAATAAGAAATCCATAAATAACAAGGATCAACTAGAGAGAGAGGGAAAGACCCCACGTGTGGAGGGAAAAATGTGACTATTTGCACCCCAAAGCTTGCCGGGAAGAACTATTTACTGCGCTTCTCCCTCACACCATGTTTGTTTCAAGCACTGGGGCAGAAACACTGAGACCACGTTGCTGCCTCAGAGGGTTTATTCTAATGGAGGAGTCAGATTATACTCAAGAGAACAAATAATTACAGTTTGTGTTTTTTCTAGGAAGAAAATAATCAGGTTGCTCTGAAAAAGAATAGATACTCACACTAGCTGATCTAACCCCCTGGAGATCCTAGGGAAGCCATTGCCAGCAGTGTGGAGATTGGAGGGGCCAGGCTGGAGAGGCCAGCTTTGGGCCTAGCTGGTTCTGGGGAGTGTAGTGGGGCTGCATGTGAGTGGTTAGTGGAATTTTCACCCTTTATATAATGGTGGGGTATTTTTAAATAAAAATAATATATCTTTACATAGCAACTATAAATGAAAATATTTAAAATAACAAAAGCAAAGCATTCTGCAGTTTGATTAAGGGTGGCCTCGTGGTCCTTATTGAGATAACAGGGAGAACTTGTTAGCTGTCAGTTTCTCACCTGGACGCCACAGCATCCTCTGTACCATTGTCACTCTTACCAGCACCACCCTGGACCACTCCCTGCAGCAACTAGGGTAACAGCTGCCTGTGAGGCTCCCTTCTCTGACTGTCCCGTGGTCTGAGATAAAAGGTCATCATCCAGCACATGCTCCCCAAGGCCCAAAAGAAGCTGCCTCTTCAAGCCTTTCCCTCACTGCACGTTCACGCTGCATGAGCCACACTCGCTCAGTCTGCTCTGCTCCATGCGTAGCTTTCTCTGCTCTGCATTCCTGCCTGGCACCCTCTCCTGGGGGGCCCCTTCCCTGTCACTTCTGCTCTCCCCAAAGCACTCAACAGATCATAGACTATTTATACACAAGTGCCCAGCTACAGATTGGTGTCGGTCTCTGATCAGTCTTAATCAGCAGCCATGAAAAAGAATGAAATCCTGGCCTGTGCAGCGACATGGATGCAGCTGGAGGCCATTGTGCTGAGAAACAGAAAATCAAACACTGCTCCTTCCCGCTTACAAATGGGACTAAACAACAGGTACACATGGACACAGAGATGGAAATAATAGACAGTGGGGACTCCAAAAGTGAGGAGGGCGGGAGGGGAGCGAGCACTGAAAAATTACCTGTCAGTTACAATGTTCACGATTTGGGTAATGGGTACGTTAGAAGCCCAGTCCCACCAGCATGCAACACACCCACACGACAAACGTGCACATGTACCCCCTCGATCTAAAATAAAACAAAACTTTAAAAATGTCTTAAACCGATGCAAACGCATGTCTACATTTGGTTGACTAACTCGTCCTAGAATACTGTGGACTCTGTCATTTGAGGTCCATCGTTTGTACTTTGGGGTTTACATCAATGATGGAATCTTTAAATTTCTAGTTCAACACTTTTACCAAAGCAACATACTTTCATAAATTTGGCAGTCTCAAATTGCTGCCAAAATTTTGCCACCCAGACTCGGATTTCAGAATATTTCTGGATTTGTGTATTCGTTACCTAAATTTTACATACACATTAACATCATGGGAAGCATAGAAAACTTTTAGCTCAGTCATTTTCTCTTGAAACTAAGCCTGACGACAAAAATTTGATTTCAGATTTAAAGTTTTAATTTGAATGAAAGCTGGCAAAAAGGTTTTCTTAGCTCTAAGAATCTCTTATACTATGACTAAAATACTTGAAATGTGCAACCTTTTTGAGCTGGGGCAGTCTCCACTCTACCTGTCCCAGCCTCCGGCCCAGGTGCTGCCTCATCACCTGCATTCTGATGGCCAGTGAGCATCGCTCTCATTTTCCTGCAGGTGCAGTGGGGGTTGTGGGTACTCTGCACCCTCACTAAGAGAAATGTATGTGTGAGCTGTGAAGGCAATGATCGACTAGACCTCTTCAATACCTTCCCATCTAAAAAGTCCTTCAGGAGGTGGGATGGGTTAAACAAGAGAATAACTTTACAACATAAAAGTTTAGATGTATGAAACCGTGAAGGAACTAGAGTGTGAGAGTTACAAATCATTTGTTAGGATTGTTTATTGAATGTCTATTATACACTTGATACTGTGTAGATGCGGGGAATACACTGATATAGACAATACATAGTTTCTTCCCGTATGGAATTCATAATCTGACTGAGAGAGAAATCGAGGAGCTAAAAAACGAATAAAATGCGAATTGGGGAAAATGTCACAAAGGAGACCAACAGGCTGGGCCACAGTGAACAATGGAGTATGGAGCCTATTTCTTCTTAAAAGGACGGCTGCGAAGGTTGTTCTTAGGAGGTACAAGTGCCGACAAGCGAAAATGAAGAGCCACGCATGAATCACCACGCAAGGCAGAGACACCAAACTGGCCGAAGCCACTGAGAGAAAGTAACTCCACAGGTTTCAGGGAAAATAATGAGGTCGGGGAGCTGGAGGATGGTGGTCAGTGGGAGAGGGGCGTGAAATGAGGGAGGAAAGGCGGCTGGCGGACAAGCACACAGAGACCACCCATGGATTAACTGCCTGCCGGGGAGACACATACACACACACACACACACACACACACACCACATGGATGATTCATCTGGAGGGGACACACACACAGGGACCACACATGGATAATCCATGTGGATGCAACACAACACAGTGGAGAAACCGGTATGATTCTACATGCTTTAAGAGGGTCACTCCGGCCGTACGATGAGATTGGTGGGGGATAGCTAGATAAATCTGTGCCGTGGCCAGCGGAATGGCCCAGACCTGTGCAGATGATAAGTTGGATGATGGTGCTTGGGTCTGAGATGTGTGTGGTGGGTAGAACTGACAAGACCCGTACTGGACTAGATGCAAGGAATGAAAGGACAGCAGTTCGGGTCTATAGTGTGAGCAGCTGGTGAAAGGGTATGACACGAAGAAGAATGCTGGATGAACAGATCATAGGAGAGGCTGGATACCAGCAATTCAGTTTGGCATGTTTGTATTGGAGGTGCATAGGAGAGTCTCGGGAGTGATGTTATAGTCAGTTGAATATTTTGGTCTGGGATTCAGAGGATAGATTTGGTCTAGAAACATACATTTAGGACTGATGAGCATATAGCTGACATGTACTGTCATGAGACTGGTTGAAAAGCTTAGGGAGAGAGTGGAAGGAGAAAAGACCAACTATGACTGAGCCTTGAGAAATGCCCACAACTGGAAGTTGGATAGAGAAAAAGAAAGTGTACAGAAAACTGAGAAGCAGCTAATGAAACAGGAGAAAACTTCAGAGAATGTGGCATCACCAAAGCTGAGAGAATAGACGGTTTCAATCCACGGAATTATTATTCTATTTGGCCACAAGGAGACCACTGGTAGTGGGGACCAACGCCAGATCAGAAAGCAGGAAAGGATGGGAAGAAGTATGATCAGCATTTATAGACAACGATTTTTTGAGGTTTCACTATGAAAAGAATCAGCGCAAGGGTACAATAGCTAGAGGGTAATTCGCGAACAAGAGAGGTTCTCTTATTTCTTTATAATGGGTGGTAATAAAGCACATTAGTTACTAGTAAGGATGATCAAATACTAGAGAAAGATCAATAGCACAAAGCAGAAAGGAAAAGAAAGAAGTTCTAGACAATAATCCCAGGAGAGGGAATGGGACCAAAACCTCCTGTGTAGGGCTTGATTTTTGTTAGCAGGAGGGACCTTCTCCAGTTTTATCTGGATGGGATACAGAGCAGAAAGTGCAGGTGGAATTTGTAGATTTGGGAGTGGGAATATGAAGGAGGTCTATTATAATTTTTTCAGTAGACTATCAAGCCATATAGACAGTACTTCAGTGAAAGATGAAGCTGAAAAGATAGGCAGGGGTCATATTATCCAGGGCCTGATCCGCATGGTAAGGAGTGTTCCAGGTATTAGAAAGCTTTTAAAAATGAATGAAGGTTCAATAATAAGAAACAAATGACTCATTATAAAAATTGTTTAAAACATAATTAGTCATTAGGAAAATACAAAGTAAAATCACAATGTAATATTACTGTATACCAAGCAAAATGGCTTTAATAAAAAGCTGACAATGTCACTTGTTGATAAGAGAGTGAAACAAGGACTGCTAACACTGACAGAGAGATTAAGTATTATATGACAAATTTTAGATCAACCATCATAAAAACACTTCAGGCCAGGCTCAGTGGCTCACACCTGTAATCCCAGCACTTTGGGAGGCCAAGGTGGGTGGATCACTTGAGGTCAGGAGTTTGAGACCAGCCTGGCCAACAGGGTGAAACCCCATCTCTACTAAAAATACAAAAATTAGCAGGGCAGGGTGGCGCACACCTGTGGTCCCAGCTACTTGAGAGGCTGAGACAGGAGAATCACTTGAACCTGGGAGGCAGAGATTTCAGTGAGCCAAGACCACAACACTACACTCCAGCCTGGGCGACAGGGCAAGATGCTGTCTCAAAATAAATAAAAACGCTTCAACAAGAAATGCAAACACACATGAAATATATTAGAAAAATAGAAAGTTCCAGCAAATAATTAGAGGGTATTTAGAATAACTGAATGAAAATTTTAGAACTGAGATATGCAATAACAGAAATGTTTTTAAAACTCAGTAGATGGACTCAACAGAAGAATGGAGGGGACAGAGGAAACCATTGGTGAACAGGGAAATAAAACAATAGAAATTACCTTATCTGAACTGCAGAAAAAAAAACAGAGCCTCAGAGACCTGTAGGATCACAATGAAAGGTCTCACATTTATGTTATTGGAGTCCCAGAGACAGGAGAAAGAGGGCATGACTTAAAACAGATAGGGATAAGTATTTTCTAAATTTGACAAAAGGCATAAATCTATAGTTTCGAAATGTTGAGTGAACTCCAAATAGGATGAACTCAAAGAAATCCATACCAAAGCATGCTATAACTAAACTTTTGAAAACTAAAGACAAAGAAAAAATATTAAAAGCAGTGAGAGAAATGACATTTACCTGTAAAGGAAAACAATTTCAATGATACGGGATTTCTCATCAGAAACCAGGGAGCCGAAAGGAAGTAACAACATTTTTCAAGTGCTCAGAGAAAAGAATTGTCAACCCCAGGATTGTTTAGCCAGAGAAAATATAAAGGTGAATGAAGGGGATATGAAGACATTTTCAGATGAAAAAGCA